TTGTCCTCCCGAGCATAATATTTTAACAGATAGCCCACAACATGAAAATTTTATATACTGTTGGGGTCGTTCTGGCTAAGTTGAAACCAGCCAGCAGCAATGCTAGTCCTCATTAATACTGATATTGAATTGCAAGAATAACAGAAGCCTATCAGCCATGAAAACTTCACTCACAAGATTGTTTGCACTGCTGGGCTGGGCTGTATCATGCGAAATTGTCTTCTCCCTGACTGGTACCAGTTTCCCTGAACACTTATGGCCAGATGCAAGCAGAGAACTCTGACAGTGAAAAATGAGGTGTGTTGTGGTGAAATGAATATAAAAGGACATGGCAAGAGCTAAACCAAACTGCTACTCATGAGAAGCATGAAGTGGGGAACAGTTTCTGGAGCAGCCTTCAGTTGCACTGGATGAGGTGAGGTGTCAATGTGCACTGAGTGAAAAGGATTTGCCCTACAAATGCTGCTCAATAGCACAGGAATAGGAAAGAAGGAGAAAAAGACTGTGACAGGAATTGTTTCTCATACACAGGCAGCTAAATCAGGAGTTTAGAGTTTGTGAGGCTGGGCTTTGGAGTATCAGGCCTGTCCCTGAACAGGTATTTAGTCGTGCAGGAGTGGCTCATTCTTTATGAACATAGCTATGCAAGGTGTTAGCTCACTCGCCAAATAGCTACAGTTACATACCCAGGAAGCAGCCAAATCCAGAGCCCCCATGACCACTTAACCCAAGAAGATCCAAATGCACATCCCCTTGTCCTCCAAAATACACAATAATCTCTGAAGGGTTTGCTTGGTTTTCTCTTGACCCCTCCTAGGCCTGAACTACCAAGGAATAAACCTCACAGAATCAATATTAAAGTGATACCACAACCTTGCAGGCAGAAACAGGAAGCCAGGTACACTTTCTCTCAGTCAGGCCACTATTAAAAAAAAAAAAATCAAGGTCTCTTCTAACTTCCCTCCTCATCCAGACAGACCCGCATTCCTGCCTATAGAGCAGTCCAGTTCTAACAGAGCAGAGGGAACAGGAGAGCAACCTGAAGGTATTCATTTTTAATCCAAGTCTCTCAACCTCCAGAGAATCACTATGAAGCAAGGTAAAATTAATGACATTTACACTAACATAAGTTATCCCAGGACCAAAAAAACAAGTTATGTGGGCAGGACCAGAATAGAAGGTTAAGGACTTGCTGCTTCTGCTTGTTTGCTAGATTTCTGCCTAGGACTTTGATACATACCTTTTGATTACAGTGCTTCAAGTGCAATTGCAGAGGGTTTTTGGACCTCACCCTTAATTTTTTATAACAGATAATCTATTTTTAAACCCCATTAGTCATCTAAATTCATTAGAGAAAAAAAGCATGGTGGCAGACCTTAACATTTACAAGCTAATGGTGTAGAAACCATTTCTAACCCAGGAGTTCACAAATACACTGATCTAATTCTGTAGCTCTAGGTATATGGCTGAGATCACAGTGTCTGACTGTAGCCCATGCAGCTGGTAAAGAGCTAGATCTCTGTCAGTTTATCAGTCACCCAGAATCAGACACTGGGCAGGAAATTTCATACAGAATTGACCAATATTGTTTGATGGGTTTTGTAGAACAAAAACATTTTGCAGAGAATGTAGGATATTGTTCTGCTAATTACTCCACAGATAAGCATTCCCTTTCCTCTAATTTTATTTTTATTTATACTCAGACACATTCAGAGAGAGATGAAATGCAAAATTTCCTTGACATGGACACAGAAATAGAAAAAATTACTTTTAGAAGATTTACACTGCAGAAAAAAAGGAACATACCAAGATGTAAGGGAAAAAAAAGAGATCATAGCATGGTTTGGCTTGGAAAAGACCTTAAAGACCATTTAATTCAACCCTCCTGCCATGAGCAGGGACACTTTCCACTAGTCCAGGTTACTCAGAGCCATATCCAGCCTTGCCTAGAACACTTTCAGGGATCGGGAGTCCCCATCCTCCCTGGGCAACAAATTGTTAAGCTATGAATTATTTGATGTATAGGCACAGGACACTGAGTGGGTTTCAGGTCAAAAATAGTCTGGCATTATCATCCAGAAAAGGAGCTATAAAATAAAGAAGGAAAAGAAGTATTCTTTTCCTCCTCCTCACACATACATTACATCTCTTTCCTTTGCCCCCTTGATGCAATAAGCAGAATCAAATTACATATAGCAAGGAAACCTTGTAACATGAAGTAAGAATCTAGCATAGCCAGTTGCTGTACCCTGATGAATTGAAATGACTACCTGCCCCAAGAATGAATCATGAGTAAGTCTGCTGAAATCAGATGTCATTCTCAAGTTATGCCCAAATAAGTTAAAAAACTGGAGACTGCTGATACAGCAAATGCAACATTACTGGTCATACACGTTTTGGCATAACTGTTTTGGAATTGGAAGAGCAAACTATGGAGCCTCCTTAAATTGACTTCTGATCAACGTAAATAAGCTGCCTTTAAATGCAACAGGTGATGGACTTCAAGCACCGGGAAGGTACCTACTATTTTTAGCAGTCATCCATTAGTCAGCAATCCCAAGTGAAAAGCACTTTCTGTGCAGAGAAAAAAATTCTTTACTAAGGTTTAAAACAAGTCACTCTTGAATAAAGAGTGACTTCCAAAGGATAGGAGCGTCACTTTTAATTAAAAAAAAAAAAAACATTTTTTCCTACCGAGAGACTACAAATTACCTATATATTTCCTCGTAAATAATGTTTTATTAGATTTTTGAATTAAGTCTGTTTCATGTCTTTCTGTCATGAGCACAGGAAAAAATACAGAGTAGAGAAGAAGCAATTCTTCAACTTCATCCAACAGCTTTCCTGGTTAAGCCTTTTTTCCAGATGAAACTATCAAAGATTTTCTCCATGTACTAAACTGAAGCAGTATTTTCACTTGGGAATCTGGCAAGCGTCTCCTGCAGAATAACAGGAGTTTACTCCAGAGAATACCTGCACATGGTCTCTAGGCAGCAGAAACAGAGCACTCCTGGAGTGCTATCCAGTGTCCTAAAGCAGTGACTTGTAACGGAAATGACAAATTCACTTTTCTGTCATCCATTTTTGGGGGTAAGGGAATGTTGTTTATTCTGACCTTTGTCAGAATTAGAAAACAAGAGCACAAAGACCTATTTCACTGAATTTTAAAAGTCTGACAGTGAAACTGATAATACATTATTTTGGGATTCAAGAAATGCTGGAATAAAATTTGTTTAACAAGAGACAGACCAATGACAGCTTCAAGAAATTAAAAAATGTGCCTTACAACCAAAGCAGAGAACCGCTGCACACGTAAGGTAGAAGCAGACTAAGATGCTTATTATTTCCTTGCCTTAGACCTAGACATAAACACACTAAGGTATGTAATTGGTAGCAGGGTATAAGCATTTTGTAACACAGCAACAGTATTAGTAGTATTTTATAACTTAGTGTACATAAATAACACACAACTGCAAATGAACAAAGACTTGAAGTATCCTTGCTCAAATAGGGCACAGGAAAGCATAGGCAAATAGTAAAATCTGCAAGATAGACTAGAGAATGTAGAGTGGTCAGGAAAGATGTCAGATGAAAGTAAAATAAGATTGCTGAACAAAGAGGAGATGTGTCTGATGGAACCAGAATAATCCTGCAAAACAAATAAGAAAGAAGCCTAGCAACACTACAGTAAGATTATTCCCTCAAATAATATGGACTACATAATCTGAGATTACCCCCTTTTCTTCCAGGAAGAAAGCAAGGTGGACAATATATTAACAATTAGAAACAAAGGAAGATAAGTTTTGAAAATCACAAAAAAAAACCCTCACTTTGATTCCAGCTTCTTTTGCCCAGGAACTCTCAAGTACTTCACTGCGACTCCTACAACTGAAACAAACCATCAAGAAGCATAGTCATCAGTGCTAAATATAGGGCACCAGCTCCAGGGCATTGTATATTCCAGGTTTACCACCACTTATATATGTGATTGTTAAAAACTGTTTGGGAAAGAGATAATAACGACTAATGGTAATTAAGAACTAATGACTGGAAAGCTGCATTGTTGCTGCACACAAGTCTAATAAAGTGCTTTGATTCATTAGTCTTTTAAACAATCCATCACGAGATCCATCAAGAGAGCTTCAATCTGTGTGGAAACATGCAAATGTTTTGGTGCAACACTTTGATCAGTTCTTTCAGCTAATAAAACCAAGTTTCTTCTCACAACATCCTGCTAAGCATGTATTGTGAATGAGTGTGGGGGGACTCATCACCACAACATGTTCTAAGTCCCTTCCCTTTACACTTTCTCAAAAAGTTAAATACTCATCACATAACAATCTGTCCCCAGATTTAAGTGACCTTCATCCTAGCAATCTTCTAAGCAGATTCTTCTGCTCACACAGGAAAGACGCAACTGGCTACATTAGACTTTAAGGGCCAAGTTCAATCCTGCAAGTCATTCCAGAGACGGCGTGGATGATGCGACTAATTCACTGTTTTGAGATTAAACGTGTTTACTATTTACGCAAAGGTCATTAACATCTCTCAGCTGAGATCTAAGCACCTTATTTAAATGAAGAGTGTCCTCCCATTCCAGCAGACACCAAGAGCTCTGTGCAGCCCAGCTCTCACGCCGGACAGAGGCAGCAGCAGCGGGGATGTCCCGGCGCCCGGCTCCCCGGGGCACGGGGCTCTCGAGAGCGGTTCTGAGGAGAGGCGCTGGAAGCGCCGCTTCCCTGCGGCCTCAACAACCGAGGCCGGGCCAGGAGACACCTGTGAGCGCTGCTCCGTGCTCAGGTGAACGGGCCCCGCCAGCCGACCGCGGCCGAGCCCTGCGGAGCAGCCCGGCTGGGGAAGGCTGGCAGCCAGCGGGCTCGTTCCACGCTGTCCCAGCAATGCGGCCGCGGGTGGCTTCCACAGCCCTTTTTGACTCCGAGTCACTCCATTAACAAGACCACCCGTCCCCACCACCAGAGCCCTTTCTAGGTCAGCCTCACCTCTCCTTCCGTCCCCTCCGCGGCTCCCCCTTCCTTCCCTCCGGCCGGAGGCAGCGCCACCTCCCCGGTCCCGCGGGCAGCCTCTGTCCCCCGCCTCCGCCGCGCTTGTCTGAGGGCAGGAGACGGCGGCGCAGGCGGGGCCGAGCCCGTCCCGCCGCCCTGGGCCAATGCCGGCGCCGGCCCCTCCGAGCGGGGCGGCTCCCCCCGCCCGGGCCCGCCCTCCCGCTCCTGTCACCTGTGGCACCCTCGCCGTGCCCGGCGGGGCGGTGACACTGCCCAGGCCGGGGGAACTTCGGCTCGGCTGTCAGCGGGCACTGCTCTGAGGCAGCAGCTCCACAGCGGACAGCGGCTGCTTCTCACGAAGCCAACGCGGGGAGTGTCGGCCTGACCTGACGAGCTGCCTTGAGGACAGTGATCCGTATTTCACTTTACTTGGCGATAGGCAACCCGAGAAGTGTGGACATACGCCCCTGTTTGAGTAAAGATACGGGCCGCGATAACAGAGGATTCAGTCATCTGCTTGTTCAGGAAGTTGTTCTAAGTGCTTTTCTGTTTAATTAGTGGCACAAAATACACATGCCGCAATTTCATGGGGTGTTTCAGCAGGACCTTTCCCTCAGCAGCCAGGCACCACGGCGGTTTCTGAAGCCGGAGTGCCTCTGCGGGAAGGGTGAAAGCACCGACCCCGGCATGAGGAGAGCTGGTTGCTGGCATTTTCGCCTTACTCACGTTCTTCTCACAGTGCTTGATCTAACTGGTTTAATTCTGGTTTGGGGCAGCTGAAGGATTTCAGTGTCTGGCGTGCCCGGAGTGGGGCCGCTGTGCCCTGAGGGCAGCCCTGTTGTCACCTGCCCACGTCTGCCGCCCGGAGCGCTGGCTCGGCTCTCTCTCGCAGCAGCTCTGGCTTAAATTACGCCCCCGCTGTGTTTCCAACCCGAGTCCATTCACCCCCCAAATCCGACACCATCAGCCCTGGCTTCCTGCTAACAATAAATCCTTATGTTTCACTTCATTCTCAAACTTGGATATGGGGAAACAATTTTCAGAGAAAATTTAGTGTTGGTCAATTACATGTGTTTTCAATTTAATGCATTTGGTATGCGGCTCTTCCTTTTTGATGTCAAAATAAGGGACTAGAGCATACTTTTCATGCACTATGCAGTAAAATTCACGTTTAATAAGCTTTTAATAAGGCTTACATTCAGCTTGCAGGGATCAGAGTGAATTGGAGACCTTGTGAAAGACTAAAAGTCGCCTGCTCCCCTCAATAATTTTCAATCAATCACCTCTCATCTACATATCCTGTTTATTCATCCCAATGTAGCACACTAAGGCTGTATCTATTCAAATCTACACTAAAGTGCTGTTCAGTGCAGATCCCTTAATTGGAAGTGATGCGAAGCCCTTTTGACACTCTTCGTAGATGGAGCATACTCTTTTTTCTTGTGTGAAATACCTCTTTCCCCCCTCTCGCAGCAGTCCCGAAGAAAAAGGAAGGTATGAGTAAAACAGTGGTTCAGGACCAGGCACGCTGTATCAGCTGGCAGCTGCGAGGGCGCTTGACCCCTGCCGGATGGACTTGGAACTGATGGGTCCTGTGTACCCATCGCCCAAAACAATTCCCCCTCTAAGCAAGGAGTTAGGACCCAAGCTTAGGAAAAACCAGCTCCTTGGTGCTAAATGGCAGAAGTCTCCAGCACTGTGAGGAGTGACTGCTGAGAAACTGTGTATGTGGTGTGTGCTGTGTCTGTTAAAATACGTAGATGAGCTCTCCTGCTCAAATTCAGTTTAGCGATGTGTTCTTAATCTTAAAATGAAACCTGTGGGATTATGTGTGTAAGGACTGTCTCAGCTCAGACCAGTTGCCAGTTGATATCTTCATTAAGAAACTGAAAATATCTGAATGACCTTCAGAACATGGAATACCTGAAGGACCCTCAGACTCATTCCTCAGTAACTACAGATGGAAAAAGTCTGCACCCAGTATCCAGGCTGTCCCCACAGCTACTCTGCAGTGGTACAGCAGATTTAAAGGATCTACTCATTTTATGTAAGTACAGAACAGCTGTTTGTCAAGGGAATTGTGCCTGAACACTCTCAAGGTGGCAGCAAGAGAACAAAAATTAGTCACAGAAGGGTATACTCTACCCAGCTTACTCTTTGTGATCCCCAGACACAGGGTTGTTAAATCCTCAGCACAATCAAAAGATTTAAGCACAGTTTTGATTGCAGTGCAACAGAGAGTATTATGGCATCTTCAGGAAAAAGACCCAAACCAATGAAGTCTGCAGGTATCTTCGGATAGTAATATTGCTATCAGACTCAGAAAGTGGATCACCTTTTTTCCTTCATCCTGCATCCAGCATGTCTATCCCTCTAGTTATTTCCCAAAGTAAAAAGGAAGTCATGCCATCTTCTTCCAATAATGAAAAAATTTGTGAATGCCTTGATGTGGTTACAAAATGACAGGTATTAGTTGAAGAGACAGTAGCTTCCACTGAAGAAAATCAAGCTGATAATGCTTTCCTTCCTCCAGTTTCCTCGTGTCACTCAACTGCCTTTGACACTGAGCTGCTTCTGATGAACTAACACAAATCACAGCTGACTCTGATGTTCATTTAATGGCGGTAGTGACATTTCCCAGGTGGCTTTGACCACATCATCCCTTGCTTTTCATCCTTCAGTTGGGTCCTGGGCATCAAGGTAACTATTTTTTTCTTTTAAAATCTTCCATACTCTTAGGTTATGCCATTAAAAGCTCTCCACATGCACAAAGGAAGGCAAAGCAATAATGGTGAGTGGAGTAGCTTGAGAAATACCCTGCCTGGCTGCTCCCAAGTCCACCACAGGAGCTCTCAGCCCATCACAGGTCCCCCTCTTCACACATGAAGGAGTGCAGAGTCTCTGAAAAGTAAGCCTTCAAAAATATTTTAGAATTATTTAGAATTTATTTTAAAACATTATAAGAAAATGTATACTGGAAGTGCAAAGTGTAAAAGGAAAATGTGTGGATAATTTATATTATTTTACGCAGTGATCTCTGTGGTAAGAAAAAGAGTGGCTTGAAAATAATGAGCATGAAAGGAATGGCTTCAAAGATCAAATGTGCATGACCTGGGTCTGATAATTTTCCTTCTCTTTTGCTCCCAAACAAAACAAATTTAATCCTGCTGCCAGTGACCAGGGCATCTTTAAATTTACTCTCTTATGCAGCATGGCTAGAGATCTCTGCCTGTTGGACTAAAAGCATTTTGTCCTTACTGTAATGAACATGTCTTAATTACAGAGTCGGCTCTAATATGTCAAAGACGACTTGTCAAAGGAAAACAAAAATTCCACAAGGATGGCCAAAACTTATGAACAAAGTAAGTAAATGCGAATGTTCACCATGGAGAAAAGGGAGAGAACTTGGGGACCATGGGGAGATCTTATTGCACCCTTCCAGTCCTTAGAGGCGGGCTTATAAAAAAGGGGAGAGTGACTTTTTTACACAGGCAGATAGTTATGGGACAAGGGTGAATGGTTTTAAACGAAGAGAGGAGAGCCCAGAGGGGCTGTACATTCCCCATCCCTAAAAGTTTTCAAGGCCAGGACGGATGCAGCTCTGAGCTGGTGATGACTAGTGCTGACATCTCTGCTCATGGCAGGGGGTGAGATGATATTTAAGGTCCCTTCCAACAAGCCTTTCTATAATTCTGTTTCCTAAGAATGCGGGCAGCAGTACTTTAGTGATTGGTAATTTATTTCTGTGGTTGAGTATGGCTCCTAGGATTATGTGGCTCAGGCACTGATATTCTACGAAGGAAGGAAATTACCAGAGCTTACCCAAAATCTATTGCAGTCCACCGGCCAGGAGGAGAGAAGCAGAATTAGTTCAGGATGAGACTCCAGCCTTTCTTTCCAACTTCTTGAGCCCTGTGCCCACACTGGCCATGGCCTTTTGCTCTGATGTGGAGCAAAGAAGCCACAGGCCGCAGAGTTCGGCTGTTGTTACTGCAGTACAGGAGCCAGCCACGGCTCCACGGCAGTGCCTCGGACTGAGGGAGCTGTTCCTGAGCGCTGCGGTGATGGGCGGCCCAGCTCCCAGTCGGTGTGGGACTGTCCCAGTACGGAGCTGGGACACTTTCTCCTTCCTGAAGAGAGCTACAACTTCAGGATTTCAGCCTGGCACCGCATTTGGGCGAAGCCCAGCCCGTCCCACGAGCCCTTTTTCCCGCATTTCTCCTTTCCCGGGGCAGAGGGCGCCTTGCGGCCGCCGGGCGGGTCGCGATGGCGACGGGCGGGCGGGGCGCGCGGCGGGGCCGGGCCGTGCCCGCGGGGCCGGGCGGACGCCGCGCGCGGTGCGGGCCGGGTGCCGGGGCGCGGGGCCGGGAGGGGAGCGCGGGCGGGCTGCGGACAGGGCCGGGGAGCTGCCTCAGGGAGCTGCCTCAGGGAGCTCTCGGCCGTGGTGGGAAGGGGTGGCGGGGGCTGAGGCACGGGGTGACAGGGCCGGCGGGATTTGGTGCCTGCGAGCAGCGAGGCGCTGGCCTCGATGAGGGGTGGCCCAGCTTTGTCCGCTGAGGTGTCTGGTGGTGAAGGGGCCTGGAGGGAGTAGAGTGTGTAAGGGACATGGGGGAAGTGTTAGCCAGGGACGGATTGAAGGCAGAGGGAGTTGTTAGCCTGCTTTGGAGATTGGGAAGGGGTTAGTGTTAGGGGTTAGTGTAGTTACGACAGCACGATGTTGATGTTGTAGCGTAACTGAGGTAATAGATTTCCCATATTTTGGACCTGTGACGGGGCAACCCCAGGTGTACCGACAGAACAGGGAGCAAGAGGATGGACAGCAGCCAGTGGAAAGGGACCTGGGGGGCTTAGTCGATGGCAAGCTGAGCATGTGTCAGCAGTGCCCTGGCAGCCAGGAGGGCCAAGTTCTGGGGTGCATTGGGCACAGCATCGCCAGCCGGGCAAGGGAGGGGATTGCCCCGCTCCGCTCTGGGGTGGCCTCACCTTGGATGTTCTGTGCAGTTTTGTGCATCACAAGAAAGACATTAAGCTATTGGAGAGCCTCCAAAGGATGGCCACAACAATGGTGAAGAGTCCTAAGGGGAAGCCCTATGAGGAGTGGCTGAGGTCACTGGTCTGTTCAGCCTGGAGAAAAGGAGACTGAGGGCAGACCTCATCAAAGTCTGTGACTTCCTTGTGAGAAGGGCTGGTACCAATCTCCTCTCTAGTAAACAGTGAGAGGACCCCAGGGGATGGATGGCCTAGAGCTGAGTTCAAGGTGTGTTTGGACAATGCTGTCAGGCATGTGGTGTGATTCTTGGAGTGTCCTGCATAGGGCCAAAAGTTGGACTCAATGATTCTGACAGGTCTCTTCCAACTCAGTGTATTCTGTGAGTCTATGAATGTTGGGGACTGAGGAAGTGGAGGCTTCTGGTAATGCAGCTGCTCGATATATGGGGATAATTATGTGAGTGCAAGTGCTACTTTGGATGGTGTTAATGATAATGATTGGGTTCATGAGAGTGGTACAGGTGGTCTGTGTAAAGAGTGTCTGGAAAGTCACTGTAGTAGGCTTGCAATGTCAGGAAACTGCCTGCTCCTTCTAAGGATGCAATGGTAGTGAAGTTATTGTTTGAGACAGTACTGCTGCTTATAAAGGGGGTCAGTCAAGAACTTCACAATTTTATTTGTTTGGGAGAAGAAACAGATATTTCCTTCTGTAAATGTTCTCCTGTGTATTTCAAATGTGCAGTCAATCCTCAGTCCTCTTAAATATGTTCCTCTCTTTCTCATGTGTGAGTATTTTCAGTGGTTTGCAAAATCCTTTCTTGTAGCATGTGTTTTTTCACCTTTTAGAGCTTGGAGGCTTTCTTGTTCCTCTCTATTTCAGAACAATTTCATAAATATATAACTGGAGCTCATCTGGGTCTGTAGTTAAAATAACACCCTAAGCATTTTCAGAATACTTCTACTCAAAATTTTCTGGTTTGTATCTAGCTTTAAGCAGGGAATTTGATTAGTGAAAGGGACAGAAACACTTTAAAGAAAACCTTAGGGAGTGCTCTAGTGATCTTCAGTTTCTGAGGAAAATCAGTAATATAAATGCTGATGTGGAAATGGAATCAATTGCAGTCCAGTTCACTGTGCACTGAAGAAGTGTGATGGAGGTTTTTTTATGCTTAACAAGTGTATCCTGCACTTGTTCATTTGGTTTGGAAATTTCAAAGGGGTCTAGAAGAAGCAAAGTACCTAACTTCCTGCCTCAGTGAGGTTTTTTCCTTAATTCAGTTGTTTGGGTTTCTTTCAAATCTCAGGTTTTACAACAGCCATGTCTTTAGGGTTTTTGGAAGTTTCACGAAAAAATATTGCACTGAATTGGAAACTGCAAAGGTTGTATATGAAATAGGATAGAAAGTTATTTTGTATACAGAAAGCTGACATGGCCTTGCTTCAGGGTATGGTGAGTGTGATGAGAAGGCATAGGACAGTGTATGGATTACAATGCATCTGTCAATAGTTGGTTTCATTTCATTCCCTTGATTTTACAGGCTTGCTTATGTGGCTTTTTATTGATTTTTTTCCCCTGTTTACTTGTGCTCATTTTAACAGGAAAAAGTATGAAGCCTGCTGTATTTAGTCACAGAACAAGTTTTTATCAATTTCACCTATTACTGTAAAATTCAGAATTTAAATTCAGATAAGCAGTTTAATACAAAAAACAGGTTATGTACAGTGTTTCTACTCATTCAGTAATAAAACATTCTGTATTATATAGATTATTTTGGTTTGGAAAATTTGATTATGCGACTGCTAAAAGCAAGGAATCTTGAAAGTGCCCTTTCTTATGACATTTTTTATTTTGTATAATATATGCTACCAGTTCCATTGCAGAAGTGTTCATTGTCAGTCGAATTGTGAGATTGGTAGTTATGACAGCATGCCCAGGGAATACTGCTGACATGCATATCCCTTCAGAAAGTGCTTTTGTTCCAGCTCTGACAATGAAAACTGCTATCAGAGTTGTGGTGAAAGGGAGATATTCATACTGCTAGGAGAACAGAAGGAGAGGGAAAGAGAGGCATGTGTGCAAGTAGACTTGGTAAAACAAGGCTGATAAACAAAGGACTGGAAAAGGAGCAACTGCTGGTTTGATTTGCAAGAATGTAAAAGACAACCTGTAGCACAGGATGTAATAAGTAATTGGTGATAGAGAGCTGTGTATCTACTTAGGTAAACATTACATCACATATATATATATATGTATATATACACACACATATATATGTGTATATATGTATAGACATGGGCCTGAGTGCTACCCCGGACAGGATTGTTGCTGTCAAAAACCCAACTTGTATTTTTTATTTCAGATCTGTTACAAGCTTGTCACAAGTGACAAATGCCAGTGAACACACAATGCTTTCTAAATTATTAATCTCTATAATTTTTTTCCTTCACTTCTAGCACAAGTATAAAAAAAAAAAAACCACCAAAAAAAAAACCCAAAAAAAAAATGGAAGAGAGCAAGAAAAAGAAGAAACCAGAAGAGCAAGTTCAAGAGCCTGAATCAGATTTACCAGAAGCCTTACTAGAATATCAGTAGGTTAAATATCTTTTAACTTTTCACTTATATAGAATATGTGAATAAAGAAAGCAAATAACAAAGACAACGTACACAATTTAGAGCCTGAGCTGATTGTTTTGAGGTTTCGTGGCTATTTCAGAAAGGTACACTTTTTGAACTGTAGCTATAAGAAAGCAATTCAATGGGTCAGAAATTCTTTGCCATTAGGCTATAACTTGGGAAAAAAAAATTAAAACAAAAAAACCCTGACATTTTTTTCTGTTAGTAGCAATCTTTTGATCAGCATATGCTGAAGTTGCAAGATCAGATTTGACTGTATTTTTTAGAATTCCTTGGCATTCGCAGAGGTTTGCTGTCACTAGCCAGAACCTCAAGACCTAGTTTGCTGTCTTCCTTGGTGCAGCTGAGAGCAAAGCACAAAGCGTTTTATTTTGAAAGTAAGAGAAGAATAAATTAAAGGTCTCTTAAAATCAAGCAGAGCAAAATAAAAGCCAAGGGGGAAATATCTGAAGCAGTTACAAAACAGTCCAACTTACTTGATTTCTAGTCTCTTGAGTAAATGATTAAAAGGAGAAAAAGTAAGCTTCATGACTTTCATCTAAGAGACAGAAATCGAAAGGGAAATACCTCAGGAACACCCAATATCCAACAATTTCCAGCATTTAGGGAGCAAGGAGTAGTGCCTTGGTGTGGAAATGACAAGTGGAGTAAGCAAACCGAAAAGTATGCTCCTATAGCTGTAGTGACATCTGTATGAGTTCACAGGGTTTATGTGGGATTTTTCTGTTTCATTTTACAGAGCACAGAGTACAATTTTCCATAGTGAAATAGCCTAGATTTAGCTGAATCATATCACAGACAAATACCTTCTGAAAAGTCCAAAACCTACGCACCTATTTTGTGAAGGAATAAGGAAACTGTAGTACTGGGCTGAGAAAACAACTGCACTACTTTCTGATAAAGTTATTGCTATGCATATGCTAATAGCTGAGCAAATGACTCATTTGTCTGGAGAGTCTTCTACTGAAATAGGTGCTTCACTGAAATGGAATATATAGTTCAGTACAGCAACAGTAGGGGGAAAGGGAAGAAAAGTATTCTTGCTGTTTTTATCTTTCTCCCAGTCTCTTCTCTGTCCCTCTTGCTCTCTCTTTCTTTCTCTTCACTTCTGCCATCTGTAACTTCTCTGTACTACTTGACTGATCAAAGGTGGATAATCATACAAGCCAATAGCTGTCACATTCCACTTTAGGATTTATCAAGTGTGTAATATTTATTTAACTTTCATTCCTGTTTTTTATTTCCTTTCACTGAAGAATGGTCACTGTTCCTAGGCAGTTTGTTATTTTGCATTTTCATTAAAGTTCTCTGTTTCAGCATTTCTTAGGAATAACAGTCTTATTATGTACTTTTGCTGTGGCCATGACCACTGTACCCCTATATCTCTGGTCTAGTCTCCTTCTAACTAATATCCTTCTACTAAATAGAAAACCTGAAGAATATGTGTCATGAGAGGATGCAAATTTAATAACCTCCAATTTGCATGATTCAGTGATCCAAACTTAGCACATTAACTAGGAAATAAATTAGCTTCTTTTGAAACAGTTGAAAGCAACAGAGAAGGGAAAAAACTCCCAAAACCACAAAAAGGCACCCCAAACCCCCAAACTAAAAACTGAAGGAAGAAGAACTGTTAAAGGAATAAAAGATTTTGTGATAATTGTAATACTTACCTCTATTGTGCCATGTGATGAATGAAGGCTGGGAACAGAGGTACAGAATACTAGAGTAATATTTTGTGGAGCACAAATTATCTTGTCCTGAAAGTGACCTGTGTAACAGGTCAGCTAAACCTCATGCAGAATGAACAAACCAACTGCAGCCTCTCAGGAGTCTACACAGGAACAGTATAACCAGGAGTCAGCTGCTCTGTAGGGGTATGAAATCCACACTAACATGCAAGCCTAGGTGTATGTGGGAAATAATTTCTTTATGTGTCGTAAGCAAACAGTGGTATTTACCCAAAGGAGTCAATAAATATAATAGGAAAATAAACATTTTGGTAGTATTTACATCTAATCTAGCTTAAATAGCATTCCTTTTTCTAATGTTTTTGTAAGAATGTCTCTTTCTTTACTCTCTTTTCATAGCATTGTGGCAAAAGAAGCAGCAATTGCACGGGTTTTGTTTCATCTGAAAGGATTGGAAGAAAAGATCAAAGAAAATATTAAAAATGTAAGTGACTATGCAACAAATTTTATTTGTGGTATTCTTACTCATAGATTTAGTTTTATTCTTTCCATTTGAATACTACATACTTTAAAATTAGTTATTGCAGTGAATTTGTTAAAGTCAATGAAACTAGAGTTAGTGAGTCACTTTATGTGCTGAAAGTTAAAGTGCTATCTGAATTAAATGTGACATATAGCAGAAATGTCCTAAATATAACATGCTAAAAAGAAGCTGCAGTAGAGCATTACAGAATAGGACAGAGCTGTAAGGTAAGGTGAGTTCAGTGCCGGTGCTTTAGTGCTAATGCACAAGAGATCCTTATAACCACCTACGTATTTAATGGAATCACAGAATTGTTAAGGATGGAAGGACTTCTCAGATCATCAAGTCCAACTGTTTAACCCAGCACCACTGTGTTCATCACTAAACCAGGCCCACATTGCTACATCCACATGTGGCACTTCAACCCTTTTGGACACTTCCAGGGATAGTGATTCCACCACTTTCCTGGGCAAAGAATGCTCTTTGTTCTAATGCCTCACCACCCTTTCAGTGAAGAAAATTTCCCTAATATCCAATTTAAACTTGGCACAATTTCCTTTTCCTCTTCCCCTGTTACTTGTTACCTGGGAGGAGAGACCCACCTTCACGTGGCCACAAAGTTATTCCAGGTGGTTCTAGAGAGAAATAAGGTGCCACCTGAGCCTCCTTTTCTCCAGACTAAACATCCTCAGCTGCTTCACATCAGACTTGTGCTCCAGTCCTTTTATCAACTTTGTTGCCCTTCTTTGGCATCTTTCTCTGCAACAGGCACGGGACAGCTAGCCCTCTTTCAGTGGATACCTTTCCTGCAGTAAGTTCAGATAAGCCTTTTAACCAGTCCTACAAATATTCTTCAGTATTTTAATGCATGAAGAATAAATGGTATAAATTTCATTTTTGTCAGTAGTATTACCAGACCTAACCAAGCACTGAGAATTGCTGAGCTTCTTTGAATCACTTCTGAAGTAATGGAATTACACAGATTTCTGTGAGAATCTAGTTATTGCTGCAAACTTAGTTACAATAAAAATTGAATAAAGGAGGAAGACCATTATGCTATTTACTAGCTGTGATTTCTAGCACTGATTGATGAAGACACACTTTCTCATGGATTAAGAATTGTTTTGGATATTTTTTAGAACAAGATTGTGTAACTACTGATCTCACCTGAGTGACACTTTAAAGAACCATGCATATGAGCTGCATATAAACAGCCATAATATGGCATCTGATAACTGTGAGCAGTGAACTTTGAAAACAGATATTAGAGAGTCGCCTATTGAAATTCATTGAAAATGCTCAAAAAATCCTTATTCTGGATCATGTTGCAGTCTGCATACAACTGCAGCATTTCATAGCAGTGAAACATTGAAATGTCTCTCTGTCCTTCCCATGCTAATGCTTGCCCTGCTTTTATAAGCATCCATCTGTTTAGCTTTCTGTGGTACTTCTTTCAGTCCTGAAGCCTGGATGGTGTTTCATTTGTGGCTTGACTATCACTGGAAGTGGCAATTGCTCTTCTATCCAAAGGCTTTTATGATTATTGTGGAGTCTTATGTCTCTTGTGGTGATACTGCTGGATCGGAGGGCTGTTTGCCTTGTTCAGAGCAACAGCATAGGGGGAGACCCTCAGTGGGTCTCCCCAGTTTGTTTGAGTGTGTTACTGACAGCCAGTGCCTGTGAAAGGCTCACACTGACAGCTCATAGAATAATGTTCTTTATTAACATAAAGTTGTGACAGATTAAGTTTTGAGGATTTTCAGTCATAGTATCTTTCTGCAAAAACATATTCAAAGCCACACAGACAAGCTCTAATCCAAAGTCTTCAGTGCCCATAGAGCATGGTCCTAACCCAAAAGGTATCCTTATGGAGGAGAAGATAGGTTCAGTCTCATAGCTGATCCCAGCAGTTATGATGGACTTCCCAAACTTCTCCCCTAAATTACTTTCATACTATTTCTTTATGTTTAGGTGGAGCTTGAGTGACTCTAGTCATTCATCTTCTCCTCTCTCCCCTGGCTGACAGGTGCTGTATGGTTTGTCAGCTACAGAGTGCCATCGAGTTCCCCTCCCTGCAAAGATTTCTATGCAGCCTGGCCACGGTATTTCCGCTCTGTTCCATCCCCCTTAGCAAGGGCGGTGGTTGCAGATTATAGGGCATCATCATGGAATAGGTTTTGAGCATGCCAACTGCATTCCATTCAGAGAGTAGCAGCTACATTTTACTCTATAATTTCCATACCACTACAACTTTTATTAGGATGTGAATACAACTTCCCAGTTTCCTCTAATTTTACCCCCAGCTATCTTTCTATAGTAATTCACCCAATTCACTGCTAGTTCATGGTCTTTCAAGGACTTCATATTTTAGATTGAGTGGGGTACTTTAAGGCATGGGTGAAGTGCTATTGTTTTAATTTAATCATGTTTTGACAGTGCTTTGAGCTCCATTCTTTATTTCCTGCTAAATGATTCTGAGCATTTAGAGTTAAACCTAGAAGTGAAGAATGCTTGAGACTCTTTCTACTGCCTACTAACTGTTGCTTACTTACTACTTGTTTACTCCTGTATGGAATCCTTTGGGAGCAAACATACACAGTCAGTAATTTCAAACAATCTGAGTGTCACTAGAGAGCGTCATGGCCAAGGGTTATGATAATAGTTGTGGAATCAGGAGGTAAAACTAATTTCAGCTCAAACAAGACTCTTTGCTGTGGTTATATACAAGTGATTGTCTCATGATTTTTCTGTATGAAGATGGTACGTTCCATGAAAATGCTGACATGAAGCAAATGGCTTCTACTTATAAACATTGCTATTAAATTATCTACAAGCACCTTTCTTTCCAGGAATGGAGGATTATTGGTGGGCTTTACTAAGTACAGCTGTCATTTGTCTCTCAGCTCCTTCCAGTGGTCTTGAAGTCACTGAGGAAATATCTGAGCCTTGCAAATTCTGCCCTCTGCTCTAATCTTTCAGAATATGAAGAGCAGGTGTTTAGCTGGGTGTTCTTGCATTTCATCTGGCACTAGGCCAGATTTTACTATTTTTGCTTAAATTTGTCACTTTGAAAACATTTTAATATCAGCTGTGTCTTCTTTCTTAGAATGTTGTTCTGCAGGAAGAACAGAAGGTGCTTATCAGGCGCTTAGTAAGGCAAATAGAAGAAAAGGAGAAAAAACGAGATGAGAAGGAGGTTGTAACCAGGGATGATGTGGAAGAGTCACTGAAAGCAGTTTTTCAGTTTGTGAAGGACAAAGAACAACTTCTTCAAGGTATGTTGTGCATTGGAGAAGTGTGGTTTGCAGTTTACACACTTGGAATTGAGTATGTGTTGTTGTTGTTTTGCAATTTAGGCAGAGATTCAACTTCTTTGTTGTATAAAAAGTATAAAACTATTTCTCTCCCAAAACTGGATCTCTCGATTTAGTGTGAGATTGTGGAGGGCTTATAAATCAATCTGTCCCTTCGAAGTGATGTATAGTATTGTGCAAGTACAGAGGCTTCCTCTTTTTTGAAACTCATGAAAGTTCTAAGCAGCGGCTCTACTGAAGATTAAAAATAAAAATTATTGATGGCAGGAAAAAAGACAAGTTTTGAGTGTTGAAAATTCTGGCTGCCATCCCTGTAACTTTCTGTGGGAGTTGTGACCTTGGTTACAACATTTTGGTGAGAACAGTTATCCCTCTTTGGAAGAATACGATCAAGCTGTTTTCAGCAATAATGGTGGCCCTTGAAACTATGTAAGGCCATCAGGCTGTAATGTTCTGTAGTGTGGAAGAATCCCCCTTCCTTTTCCATTCCCTGTGAAAGCTTCTTTCTTAAACATGTTGACATTATAAGAATTATCAGTTCAATAAATCAGTAATGAACTTATCTTTGACATTCTTATTTTAATAGATGTGCACTCCCAAATTGAAGAAACTAAGAAAAAAATTGCAGAAAAGCAGCATGAGAGAGATTATTGGTTGGAGTACAAAAATGTCGGAAGTAAAATACATGCTGAGAGGATTAGCGTTCTGGAAAAAGACATTGCAGATGTCAAGTATGAACTTGAAAGAACTGAAGGTCAGTTTACAGCTGGTGTAATGTAAGCCTAACAGGGCCTTTGCATATTGCCTGTAGGAATTGAATGGTAAAATTAATTTTAGATCAGGTTCTAATAACTTGTATCAACTTTTATAGTAATTTGCATGAACTTTTCTAAGTGCACCTAAAATGGGCTGCATAATCCTGAAAAATATAAGGACTCACTTTCTTTATTTCTCTCTCTGTAGGAGTTGCTTTATTAAGAAATTCATACAGAAATGATGACACTTAAGAAACTGATGAGCTGGTCCTTTGATTGTTTTCTTGTAAAATACAGGCAACAAATTAAAAAACATATATTACTGAGAAGGATAGCAGATTTTGTAAAAATAAGTCTACACATATTTAGGTCACCTACACAGAGAGCTCCCTTAGCAGTCATACTTGAAAATGTTGACTCTGCTGCTATTAGTTCTCATCATCTACAAGCACTTCACATATTGAAAGCTCCTTTGACAGGACAGTAGTATGAGCTCATTCTTGGAATAGTCTTTTCTGTGGCACGCACTGGTTTACATGTAGGACTAGGGGGAGCTCTTTAGCCAATGGTCTGGGCTTCCCTCCTGGTTACACAGTGTGAGGTCCTGCAAAATCGCCAGTACAGACACAGACAGATCCTGGGAACTGTTTCAGCACTGTCACAGCAGTGGAATTAGTTTGAGAGCTTATATATTGTGGTGCTGAGTGCTTTACAATGATTTATTTATTACTGCATTATTTTAAAATAATTTAAATATTTTGCTGTTACATAATCCATGCTTCCAACAGGAGAAGGATGTCCTGGTGTTCTTTCTTTATGTCCCTCTCAGTATGCATGACCATAGCCAAGCAGCTGGTAGTAACAGGCAGTGACACTGCTCTAAGGGTCTCTGTATATTCTGTGCCAGCCATTACCAGGCATCAGCTACTGTGAATAAGAGCCAGCTATCTTTTTGTCTCTCAAAACATATTTTACCACCATTAAGATCCACTCTGTGATTTCTACATTTCCAGATAGCTTTCAGATATCCACATCTGTAGTCAGGAGAGGTTGGGGTTTTTTCATTACGCATTTTCTATGTTATTAATTAATTTAAAACTTTGCTATCTAGCAGCTGAAATATGAAATGAAAAAGAAAATGAGCTGTTATATAGAATGTCAGTAGGGACAGGCAGTCTGACCTCCTGCATTTACAGGGTACAGAATGTTGTGGTTTAACAAAAATTCTTGGTCCAACAGAAGTGTATTTATTGAAAGTCATGTTATAGTGGTACATATGTAAGTGGCCTACATAACATATGTTGTTGACAGTACTGGATGTTTACCATACTATTTTGCTTAACTCCCTAAAACTGAACCTAGAAAGTGTCTGGGAATACAGCCTTCCAGCAGAAATTTATGAAGCTTTCAGAGAGAGGCAGCAACAAATTTGGCTTGCTCACCCCTTGAATATGTAACAGGCCCCCAGCCTGACTAGTATTGACTCCATGCTTATTGCCCCCAGCCTGCAATAATTAGCATTGACTCCATGATTCTCAGAAGGCTGATCAATAACTTTATTGTTCTATACTTATTAAGAAACCCATCGCCCTTACAATCATGATACAGGTGGACCCAATTGGTCCTTCCATCTAAACACCATCACCACTGGCCAATTAAGAAATCACCCTCTGGTAAACAAATCTCCATAACACATGTTCACAACAACATGTGCAGCAAGTGAAGATAAGGATTGTTTATCATCCGTTTCTCTCATCTTCTCATAGGACAATGCCTTGGAAAGTTATGTGTTGCTCTCTGTGGCCAGAGAGCTGCTGCCACACTAAATTAATAATTAATGCATTACTAATACACCTTTCATATTTGACTGCCTGTGACTCCACAGTGCATCCATAAGCAGATATTCTTTTACAGCTAGATCAGAAATAGGCTGTCTGCAACACAAGTGCAGTGAAAGACTGAATTTCAACCCTTTGGAACAAGTGTGCTGTGCCTTCCTTCACAGAAGATTACTACAGTCTCATTCATTCCTTCAGAAGGAGGAAATATCAAGCAGAAGGGAGCTATTTAGAAGAGCAAAAACAAAATAACTAAAGGGAAGGATTAAATAATTAAATAGCAAATAACTAGAACATGAAGCCAAACCTATTCAGTTCAATGTAAGACACATTTTCTAAATAATGACCACAAGTAATGGTAGAAGCAAATCATTGTGGCAATTGCCACATTCTCCATTTTGTCCTGCTGTCCATTTAGAACCTTAGAGCCTTAGATAAGTCAGAAAATTTATTAGGCATGTTATAATAACTATCTGAAAAAAATGTCACGTGGATGAGGAGATCCAATATGCTTCTAAGTCAAAAAAATTAATTTTCTAAGCAAATCTCTCATATGGCTTCAGGAGCTCTGCTACTGATAGAGACAAAATTTAATGTTAAAATGTCAATATTTTAGCACAGAATTGCTTAGATCACTACTCAGTTAGCAGTAAATTGCTGAGCTTTTGCAGTTGTGAACAGAACTATGTAAACCACTTCCAATTTCTAGTTTTGTAGTTAACACTACTGTTCTTTGGGTTTAGAAGGACAGTTTCTTTGGAAAAGGATATTTGAATCCTTTTCTGTGGATCATCTATGCAGGCGACACTTGCTGATAAATTGCAGTTTAGTAATGACATGTCAGTTATCTATCTGTTATCAGGAAAAATTGATGGCAAATAATGATTTCTGATTTCCCTGTTTTTTTGTTTTGAAGAATATTATAGAGAAGCTTTGAAAGTTGTGAGAGAAGAAAATCAGAAACTGTTTGACAGGCACATGAAATTACTCAGTGAAGAAGCTCTTAAGGTATTCTTTTTGCTTTTTTAAAAAACTGCTAATGCATTACAGTTGGGATACATGCACTCTGTATTATTAATTATTTTAAATAATTATTTAATGAAGGCTTCAAACCTTTCTAATAAATTGAGAGTAAAATAACCTGTAAATCCTGGTACATATGGATTTGGTTATTGCTATACATACATGTACTTTTTTTTTTCTTTCCATCAGAATAACAGTGGGTAGATGTGAGGGCATTTTACAATCAAGGCACAGGAAGCTGGGGCACCATGCACTGACAAGGCTTGTTTGAGAACATGTTGCTTTTGCCATGGCCTTGATTTTGACATTTATACAGACTTCAAAAAACAGTAACATACAAAGAGATTGCATGAAAATATACATCAATTTGGAAAAAAAAAAAAAAAAAGGGTTTCACTGCACTTGTAAAGTACAACATTTTTAAAATCCCACAGTAGTGCAGTCTCAGGAAAATGTAGGTTTATTGATTCACTGTGTTTTTTGTCATCTCTGCCAGCTCTGATTTGAAAACATGGTTTACAAGTAGCTCTAGTGACAACTTCTTACTTTCACAAAATGCAAAACATACTTCAGTACAAACCACTAGGCCCATTAGGTGTTTAAATTCCCTGACTTCAGTGCTGGAATTTCCAGTCATGTGAGAACATAATCCAGAGGACTGTGTTTATGGTGATCTACAGGGGCATCTTCGCCCCCCACTTCTTCCTTTCCACTTTACTGACATCAATAATTAAATTGTAGCCTTGGGTCATTAGCACAGACCTCTACATGCGTAGGTCACTTGTTGTAGAGCAGTATTGGTTCATTTGGGATTTTACTTGGAGTTCTTAATAGATGAAGGTTTGATTTTCTAAAAGCAGTAAGACTTGAACAGTACTGGGAACATAGAAGAATTTTGTTAGGCAAAAAGGAAAATATCCTATTCTAATATGGGAAATAAAAAAATATTGGTAAATTGTTTGACATATAATCTGCTCTAGGCAGGATGATAGAGGAGAAACATCTGGCCTTGTGAACTAAATCCGCTTGTAATCCCTCAGGGGATGCTGCAGTCTGTTGTGTGGATGTGTCTTAATTATTTCTGGCTAAAGAGCAGAAGGTTCTTCTTTATAGTGTGCAGGACTGTCAAAGTGTTGTTCTCTGATGGGATTATCTTGTGTTTTCTCAGAATGCTGTGGGATACTTAGACAAAAACTGTCGCAGAGAGATTGAAGAGAATGAGTGGCTAAAAGAAGAGGTAAGGGGATCACTTGCCTGCAGTTTATCATGGCAGTTTATGTTTGAAATGCTGTGGCCTATGGTCAGAACTGTTTTCAGTCATGGGCCTCAGGAGCCTTCTGGTGGCATAGGAGAGCAATTTCCAGTAATTAATCTGTAATCCTGAGCAGCAAACAGTGCAATATGGTGAATAAAGGTAGGAGGTGAACATCTGCTTTCACAAATGGAGGACCCCCTTTCCTGCCCAAGCTGTTACATGAAGGACTACAATGTTCCATACAATTAAGGATTTTTAGCTGTGGAGATTGGGATGTTATAAAGGATCAACCAGGTAAGCAGCTGAAGAGGGGAGGTTTGAATTCCATTAAAGTTCTAGTGCTGCTGTATTGAAAGAAAATGGATATGGATGTTGGAAACATGTTCTGAGAAATGGCTTGAGACAACATTAAATGGAAGGTCATAAAGAAACCATGGGGACTCTACACTGAAGAGTCATATATGGTTGTAATTAATTGCTTGATAGCTTTTATACTGTCATTTAATGACAACTTAGGGCTATATATTAGATAGCTGTAATTTTCTTGGCAAGCAAAAATTTTTGTGCCAGATTTAGGAAACTAATTTTTTCCATAGTGGAAGTTTGATTTTATTTATTCCAGTCAATATAGGTTCTTTGTTTCAATCAAATCTAAGCATGAGATTGGTGGGTGAAATGCCTTTTCTCACTTTTAGAGCCTCACAGTTGAGAACTGAGCAGAACATTTTTGAAATTTAATAAATGTACTTCTTACTTTTCCATGCCACATCAACGAACCTGGCAGAAGTTTCTTCATTTTAGTTACTAATTTAAGGTACTTGCCAGAATTCAGGGACACAGCTTTCCTTCTTCCCCTTAATGAGCTCTGAGCATGCATCTTTAACTTTCCAGGGAGGGTGTCCAAACCACAGCTTCTGAAGCAATGAGGGTAGGGAAAAGAAATGGGAAAGAATTAAGGTTTTATTCTGTATAAGCAAACAGAAGCTCAAATCTACACATCCCAGCACTGAATGAGTATGAATTCTCTTCCCTTCTCCCTGTTTTACTGAACACTTACAGTTTTTACTCACATTAGCAGTGCCAACAAGAGAGCACTTTGGAGTACCCTTATGTCCTGACAGGCCCTCACCTCAGAGCTGAGGGATTTGGATTTCTTTCCTTTCAACTAGAAGTTTCCTATGTTATGAGTTACTTTCCTATGTTGCTACTTGCCTATGTTATGAATTACTGCTTTGAATTTTGGGGGAAAACAAAACTATTATCACTAACTTCTCCAATTCTCTCTGAATTCACCCATTCATTTTCTCTGCTTTTCTTACATGGATGAAATATTTTCTCTCAGACTAATGTTTATATGTAGCTGACAGACTGTTTCAGTATTTCCTTTGGGGGTGATAAACCAAAAATTTTAGTTTCTCAGTTATTTTTATTTTTTTTTTTAAGTTTGGCCACTGAACTGAAAAATGACTTACCAAAATAGCTCTAGATTAGTTACCTCCAAAATTAAAACAGATTTGGAGACTTCAGTCACATTTTTCCATGGTTACTCTGTCACACCAAAATGGTGCAAAGCTGCATCACCTCACTGTGCCAAGCCACATCCTGTTACTGGTTAATTTCCAGTCATTTTCACCTTTTTAATCCTTGGGAGAAGTTGGAAGTAGTTTTAACTGCAAATTTGGATGATTATAGCTGGGTTAATTTGGTTTTGATGAGAATGGATGCCTTCAGATCACTTGGTCCTTCTCTTGAACATGTGCATATGGCTACGGTTTCTGGGAAGATACCGTTTCCTTAGTACATTACTCCCCAGTGAAGGGGGTAAGAACTTGCTGGTACTTATGCAAAAGTGGGAGGAATTGTGGGAACTGAATAACCAGCATCCTTTGGTCATTGTATCTCCACAGTGGTAAGGGGCAATTACCAGTCTGAAAGCAAGTAGTACCTGGCCAGTGTCACAGAACCATAGAACATCCTGAGCTGGAAGGGGCCCACAAGGATCATTGAGTCCAACTCCTGGTCCTACAAAGCCCCATTGAGAACGTTGTCCAAATGCTCCTTGAGCTCTGTCAGCCTTGGGTCTGTGACCATTGCCCTGGGGAGCCTGTTCCAGAGACCCACCACCCTCTGAGGGAAGAAATGTTGTGGTAACTTGGACTGAAAAATTCACTAATTCTGGGTAAGAAGGTTTTGTGTATAAGAAGGAATTAGAAGAATAACACTTGCTAAATAAGACCCTGACTTTACCTCTGCAAAGAAGCTTTTCCTCTCTCAAAGCTCTGATGTGAAAGCAAAAGAGGAAAATACAGAGTTCCTGTCTAGCAGACTTGTTTGGCTATACAAAAAGGTTTTGCTGTCAGGGTTGCATAGCCCAAATGTGTGGCTGTGATTGACACACGTGGGCTGTGACAGTAAAAGGGTTCTAATAAAGGTGTGAAAGAACCAGAGTCCTTCCTGTTGTCTGAAGATAGTGTCACTCTGTTTCCTCACCAAATGTGCGATCTTGCTGACACAGCTCCATTTTTCTTAGGTATGTGCTGATAAGGTAGTTGCTATCAAAGCTTTCCAAAATTCTAAGACTTTCTTTTATTCTTTTTCTAATTGTCAAAAGGTTAAGATCTACCGAAAGGAAGAAAGGGATTTGAAAGCTTCTGTCCAGCTCCTGGAAGAAGAAAATACCAGTTTAGTGGAAAAACTGATTGATATCAAACTTCAGCATCTAAGAGTATCAGGGTAAAATAATGTTTTTATGGACTCAAAAGTAATTAATTTTTTTTAAATATAATGCTCCTGTCTGCCTCTAGAGCTATTTGGGCTCTCCCACATCAAAGCCAAAGTAATTTCCAAGTTGAGGAAGGACAGGATTTGACTGAGTATACCTGGGAGTAGTATCTCTGAAGGATGACAGTAACATGGTGACTTCCCAAGTACCGAATTTCAGAGAAAAAACTGAGTCCTTAATGAATATACTAAGACCTAACACTACTCACTTTATATCACTGAAGCTTGGAAATAATTTCTTTGTGTTGCAATTAGATGGTCTCAGCCCCAGCTTTTCAGACAAAGTGCTGAATAATAGATTTTTCCTTTACTGTTTGCAAAATGTGTAAGGATGTGAAGATTCATTTGCAAATATCTAGGGGCTTTGCAATCTCGAGTGAAACAAATGACGATACTGAGAGAGGAAGAGACCTTGGGAAATGTCTGTCTGCAGGGGTGCCTGTAGTATTAGCTTCTTTTGTGTTGAAATTATTTAACTTTTTCCCTGGAGAAAGATTAATTTAGCTACAAAATGTCACCACTAATGGTATCAAAAGTAGAATACAACAATGTGAGAGATCCATCTTCAGTTTGCAGTCCCAGATCAGTGATTTTAGCCATATTGAACAAAAATTTCAAGTCTTAAGAAGTGACCATTTTTCTCTCCTTTCCAGACTTTGGATTTCTTTGAAGTGAGAGCTGCCAGCTGTGGTCTGAATCTTGGACTGACTGGAGACTATAACATTTGTTTTCTTTTAGTCTCATGGACATAGTTGAACTAAGGCACTAAGAATAAAAAAGAGCAGCTTATTAGCCACTAAGCTACCTGGCTGCCTCCATTGCATTTTTGAACCATTGCACTATTCTGCCTTTGTGGCTAAGCAGCAGTGGCTCTCAGAAAGGGTGGCCTCCCCCTCACCCCAAATCATTGCACAGGACAGTTTAGAGAGAAAGTATTATGGGTTTTATTTTATTTTTTTTCCTCCATAGGCATTTGTTTCATACAAAGGGAGCTGGCTTGCAAGAACTTCCTAAGGATGAAATGAAAAGGGAAAACAGAGAATATGCAGGTAATGCAAATGTCAGCAACTTATAAGAATTGCTAAGTTACTGAACATTTACAGACTTTTTATTTCCAAAACTTTTAATTCAAACTACCTGTTTGACATGGAGAACACCTTATTTCCCTCTTGATTGCAGCCACCAGAGCCATGATAGATTGTAATTTGCATAAGTAGACAAAATCACAATCTATCTACCTGTAGTACAGATTTTAAATTTAAATTTGTTTTAGATTGTGGAATATGATTACTCATCTAGAGCTACCCTGGAATGTAGTTTTCAGGACTGGCCATCTTTTATGAAGATATGAATCATATCTTAATCAGTTGTTTACTGATCCATATCATAACTTCATTATAGCTTGTCCCTGACAGGACATTCTTAAACTCTATGTTGGCTTTCACTTTAAGTGTACATGCACTTTGCAATCATTCAGCCAATACACCATAGTTAAATTACAACTAAATCCCTAGCAAGAGTAGATGAAGCTACATGGAGCTCAACCTGAACTGAAAATTTTGCTAAGCAGTACTGAATTTTGGGCTGAGTCTCCACCCCTTCTGGTAGGTGTGGCCAGGGAAAGGATATACCATTAGGCAAGGAGCACGAGCCTGTGCTTCTCTGTTTAGGACAGTCTCTGTGGATTCCCAAGTATCACAAGTTTTATTTTACATCTTTGTGTGAGTAGAAGAAAGAGGATGGAAAAAAGTAGAAAATTATTCTAACATATCTCTTTAATACAAAATTAAAGAGATATGTTAGGAAAAATGGAAGTCATACAGTTAGGGATACATGAAGAAGTTTGTTGAAGTTCTGATCAGTCTCAGCCGTAGGTTGGCCTTTTGAAATCATCAGGCACCAGCAAACATGTTGACAAAGACTTCTGTATTAAATACATGTTTACTTTGAACACCTTTGCTAGACTTACCTGGAGGAGAAGGCTTTGTTCCAATAAGCTGGGTCACAGTCGCAGGCAAACCTGTAACTTGGCAGTCCATGTCCAGAATCCTCTATCATCCTGAGAATTAGTCAACTACAGATGTGATCTCTTTAGGGGAGTTATAAGTAGACTAACTGTGTTTCAGGAACATGTAGTTATGTACCTATAGATACACAAACATGGGTATAGAAGAAGTTTATACTTGGTTTTGCTGCCTTTCTTATTTTTTTAACTATTCAGTGCTCTACAGGATTTAAGTTGAACTGGTAAAAGCTCATTTTTTCCCTGCCCCCCCTACAGATCCATTAGTTCTAACTTCCAATCAATTTCAGTCCCTGGGCCTTGATCAGAAATTGTGAACAAAAAACACATAAAAAAACCCAATGTAAATTAACATTTGGCTTGAATTGCCAATTAAAAATGCTACCAAGCTGTTCTTTGCATTGCAGGGGCTAAGCCATATTAAAGATTGCAGGCAATGCTCATATCAAGTACTGATACTGACCTTCATAAGGCTTAACTATTACACTTCCTTTTTCTTTTCTTTGAAAAGCAAAGACAGATGGAAAGAGCCTCAGAAGTGCCTTTCCAAAGATTCGGTCTAAAACAGATTATAAGAAGCCTACAGCCAGTGATGAAAAATCACGGAAAAAATTCTTCACTCTGGACAGTTTGTTGTATGAAGATGAAGAGTTCCAGGTATGAGTCAGAGTTATCAGGTCATCCACTGACACAGACATCTTTCAATGTGGAGCATGAGCTACCGTTAGTACCATTCTATTTCCAGTGGTGTTATGGCATCCCATGTCCTTTACCGGGTGAGGATTTCAGATGTTTGATGTAGTCCTCTGGTGCTGTTTGGGACAGTTAGGTCACTCCATGTCCTTCAGATGCTGGGCCAAATGAGCACAGCTTCTGTGCCCTATGGACCAGCCTCACGTGGATGTTTTGGATGCCTTCAGGCATCTCTGATGCCATGAGGAAGTGTTTTGGCAATTGAATGGTGTCCTGGGAATCATCCCATGGAGTGTCAGGATGAAATTCCCCTTTAAAGAATTCTGAATGTCACCTAATGAGAGATTACTTGGCTTGGATAGCAATGGACTGGTCCTTTGGAATTGTGTTGCACAGTAGCATTAAAGGATCAATATTCCTTCAACAGAAAACCAGGATGAAGGTGTTCCTGGGTGCAAGCTACGGGTCTGAGTTAACAGTGCACATTGGCCTTTCCTGTAGCTGATTGACTCTAACCCAGCAGAAAAGCTTTCCTTTCCTTTCTCCCCCTGAATTAGTTTCTGTTGGGTTGGTCAACTGAGTAGACTCAGAGGTTTGGAGAAGACCAGAGCCAGTGCAGATGTGGTGGAAGCACATGGCTGGGCTTGGACCTCTCTCTTTTTGGCAGGAGCAAGCTGTTGCATTAGTTTAATTCTTCTCATAGAACTGAATTTGAGATTAGAATTTGGTTTATAGAGGTGATAGTGGTGAAAACACAGTGAAGAAGAGGGCAGCAGGGCTGTAGCCTCCTAAAATGAGTTGGCTTGCAAAAGAAACCCATTATTACTGACTTTATCAAACACAGCCCGAGGGAAGCATCTCTACAGTTGCTTTAAAAATAAAAGTTGTTGGTTTTGTTTTTTTTTCTTTTTCTTTTTTGAAGAATGGTTGCTTTTCTATGAAATTGCAAAGGAAAACATATTCTTTCTTCTTAAGGCATACTCAAAACTGGGACCTCTGAAGAGAAAGCTGTACGTGGTTGGAAAAGCTGTGCCTGCTTGTAAGGAACCAGAAGAAATGCCAAGCAGGAGCCACACAGAAGAGGACACTGTTGGTAAATCTGATGGGCATATCACAGCTAAGATGATCAAGGCCTTATTTAAGCAAAATGTTGATGAAAACTAGACAAGCTATGCTGTTTACACAGAAATGTAACATTCACAGTTCATTAAATATTTGCTCTCTTCTGTGTGGCATGGGGCTTTGAGGAAACTATTTTAGAGTGCCTGAATCATGATTATAAGTTCCATGAGAGGTATGTCTGTGTGAAGAGGCTAATTGAAAGGTTCCTTTCCTTACCACTGAGAGAGGTCTTGTGCACATCTTTGGGGTATTCAGTCCACGTAGCAGCACATATATCTACTGAAAGGTCTGAGCTAATATTTCATCTGTGTGGTCTCCACTTCCAGATGTGGAATTCCCTCTTGATCAGACAGTGAATGGGTAAATGCAGGCTGCCATAAAACATGGAACTGTTACAAAATACATAGTGCTCTGCTAAAGCAGAATTAATGTTTGCAAGCATAATTCAACTTTTGCTATAAATTGAGTGTCTGAATACTTTTTTACCTGTCTCCACAAGATCCCTACTTAAATGCACTGAACTAAACAAAAATTAATTTAAAACAAGCATAAAAATTTATATGGTCTTAAATATTTTGTTTGTTTAGAATTGGCCAAATACATTGTGTAAGCCCTGATCCTTGGTTTGTGGCTGGTGTCTTTGAACATTTATCTTAAGTGCATTGATGCAGTGGTGGGAGGGGCGGGGGGTGGCTCCCTCTGGATACGCTCTCAGAAGCACACAACAGGTCCTTCACACATGTAGGCTCTGACCCATGCATTTCCTCATTAGAAACTTGTGACAGCATTGAAGAATCTGATTTAAACCCTTGACTGGATAATCAGCTGTTTGTAATAAAGCTTCAAAAAAAACCTTACATTTTAAACAACCTCCACCTCTGTGTATCTGTACTTCAGTGCAAACATTTTGGTTTTTCAAGCATGCTCAGCTGTTCCTGCCCAGCAGGTGTCTCCTTGGGCTGCAGGAGAGTCCCACTGGTCTCTGGCCTCCATTGACCAAGCTCCTCTGAAGCTGGGATCACAAGCAGACAGGTAAAGGTGGCAGACCCCAGGTAAAGGCAGACTCCACCTAACACGGACTCTCACTTCTCTGCCACATGAAGTAAAGAGATTTTAGATGTGCTCCTGCTGTAACCCAGTGGAGTGACTGTGAAGGCTGAGGTGATTCCTATGCCTTGAGTATCCATGGAATGGGGATCTGCTGTGTCTGCAGCCCAATAGACGCTCCCCTCATCTCTCCTGCCTTGCTTTGAGTGCAGCACAAGCCCCATTAAATGACTGACTTGAAAGAGAGATTAGTTCTGCTCACTGCTTAATTTAGCTTCTCCTTCAGATGCAGAATTAGAATGTGGCTTATGCTGAATGGCTTTTCTGTTAAAGAAAGGCCTCTCCTTCTTCCCACCACTCCCCAGAGGGCATTTACATTTTCTAGTGGTGTAAATGTAGGGCCCACCTCTAGGCTTCTCTTGGCTTACGCCCATAATGCATAACACCATGTGCAGGACTTATGGCAGGATAACATCAACCCGCACCTTGGAAAAAAGAACTCTTGCCTCCTCCGGTCAGTTAAGTATTTTCCCATAACAGCCTGTGTGGGTGAGAGGGAGTTAAAAAGAAATCCCAAACATGCTAATTAGGGTACAAGCCACAGGCAGCCTGCACAAGCCAGAAGCAACTGCCTGCAGCAAAACATATTCAGTGAAGTGTCCCAAATCCCCTTGATTTCTACAGGATTAGCATTAAGGCCACTGCGATGCTTTCATATGGAGAAAGCTGGGTCTTCAGCCCAAGGCATCTGGACTTGATAAATTTGTTACTCGGAAAATCTCTGAGAAATGAGCAGCATGTTGTAAAACAGGGCTGATCACTTTTTGGCAGCACAGGCAGTGCTTCCAAGCCCCACTTGGAGTTCACTACTCCAGTTAGAACCAAAGTTAGAGGAGTCACCCTTGTATTCCCAGCATTATGAAATACCTTTACTGTATTAGTGTTGCACAAGACAACTCTAGAATGCAAGCAAGTGTCCTGGTGTCTCCACAACTGTAATCCAAGCTAAGCTTCAATTGAGCTGGAGTTAAGTGTTTAACTACAACAGAGCTCAAAGAAATTTGCCGTTTCAACAGGAAGAAAATGCCCAACAAGTATTAATTGAAATTCAAAATTAAGGAAATACGAGCATCACAGTTGCATGGAAATAAAAACTATTTTAATAGAACTGAGGTCCATGAGCTGGAAGTGAGAAACATCAATCCATGGAATGTCTAAAAAGCACATTGGGGAGAGGTGTGCTGAGAGCCTGTGTCCACTCCAGTGATGAAAGGAGCTGCTTACCTCAGCACTGCTGGCTTGAACGCTCTCTGAGCAACTGGCTTGTACTGCTTTATAGTCTGGCTGTGCTGGTATGATCTCCCCCAGCCTGAGCTGCAGGGAATGTGGGTAATTTCACTTTTGGTCTGGTTTTTATGAGGTTTGCAGCCTCTGCTGCAGTGAGGTTATGTAACAAGGCAATCTTTCCACAGGTTCAGACCTGCATGTTTTGGGAAATGAGGGTTAAGAGACTCGTTCTGCAGCATTTGTTCTGGTTTGGCTGCTTTCTGAGAGAAAAGTTATTAAACACTGCTTCTGTGGGCTAAAAGGAGTTTGCCAGAATAAGGTCAAGGCAGAAGGTAATGGACTGAAAAGTTACACTATAGTGACAAGCACAGAACAGAGAATCTATTGGTATTAGCATCTTTAGCCACTGATGTTTTGCAGCTGGATGTTCCTCCAAAAAAAGGCTTTTCCTTGGATTTTGAGTCAACTGTGAAAGTAAGGATATTTTTTGCAATACTACATTTCAGAGCTCATGTTCTGCAGTCTCCCACAAACACCATATTGTTTCAGGACATGACATGGCAACAAGATGCCAACAACTGTTCCCATATGTTGACAACTGAACACTGAGCCATGCTGAAAACTAGGATTTAACACAGTGCTGGATCTTAGCTCACTTAGTGATTAAAGTAAAACAAGAAGCTAATTATATCAAATACTGCTTTTCCAAAATAACTTCAGTACTTGGGCGATTGCTGCAGCTGGCACATGGAAGTTCAGCAGTTAATGCCAAGAACAAAGCAGAGATCCATGCTATGAAAATAAACCCAAGACCCCAGTGCTCCTCGTGTACTGCAGCTGCCGGATATCCAAAGCACTATGCTTGCATCCGACGCATTCTCTGTACCCATTATCACCTCACATAGAAATTTAAGCTAGTTGGCTCTTTGTTCCAAAGCTTTTTGATCTTTGCTTCAGGAAATTTCATCATCAGAGAAGCAAGAAAATAATTAAATGTGTTTTACTCATTCCTAGATTGATCTATTATCTCAGGGAGGCCATCTCTCATCGTATTACTCAACCTTCTGGTACAAAAAGGTGCTGAGTAGGTGGCAGCAATGTTACACCTTCAGGGAATCTGCCCAGGGTTTTCTCCTCTTCACTCATTCTCCTGGCTCCAGCCAGGATGCAGCTGAATAATCAGCTAAGTCCCTTTGCTCTCCAGTTTGAACTTGGAAAACAGCAGCATCTCACAGATTTTTCTTGTTGGGTAAACTCAGTGGAAGATGTCAAGCCCGTTTCTGCTCTCTCCACTGTCATGTGAGAGCTCCAAAGGTCAAGTCAAGAGACTGACAACGGGCCAAGGAGCAAGCTCTTGTTCAGTTTACAAATGCTGTCATTAGCACTGCTCTTTTGTCTGTATTCAGCACATTTTTTCACTGCCCCTCACATTATCTTGTTGATCTTCTGCTCCCATCAGCATTTATTATCATTCCCAGTGTTTTTAGCACTTAATTCTCATTTCTCTGCCACAATCTTTATCTCAGTTATGTCATGGCCTTTAAGTTGCAATTCATTTATGTTGCTACAAAATTTGTGTCAGGCTCTGGTAAATGGGCACTTTTTGTCTAATGAAAGATGCAGGGTTTCACCCTGTCCCTTTTTCTTGCTGAAGGGCTGTTTGGCAGCTGGATCGTCTGTGACTTATTCTGGCAGTTGGCCGAATGGAACCTCTGATGTCAGAAAGTCATGCAAAGACAGACTTTGAACATGTCCTGAGGTACCAGCTCAGCTTAGTTTGTGACTTAGAAACAAAGAAGAGAAGCAGCAAAGGCATTTAGCACTGTCCTCAGATGAAGACTCTACATTTGTGCTGTTAGAAAACTCAGGAGCTGTTCAAGTTCATGTTCTGGCAAAAGTAATTGTCTCAAGAGGTAAATCCAGTTTTTTCATTATATAATTCCCTGATCTGAAAAAAAAATTAAAATACTGTGGTTATTCTGACACACCAGTTTTCTACACAAAGCTTCAAGAGAAACCACATCCCTTTAACAAAGCACTTCATTGTCCTCTGCTTCTGAAGGGCAGGCAGCTTCCCTACACAGTTTGCATCTGTAGATTAAAAGCCTTTCAACTCAATTCTGAAGAGAACCAGGTTTTCACAACCCCCTATTATTTAAAAGTACCAGTAATTAAAAAACAAACCTATGTGCTGTGCTTTTAAAATTAAGCTAAACTGAGTGTTATTTCAGTGATACTGAAAGCAAACACTGGGAACAAAGCAAATGAGAAAATACTACTCAGGAAAATTCTCAAGCCAGTTTGTCTCCAAAGAGTAAACCAAAGAGCAGGGGATTTTAGCAAGGCCTTGAGCAAGAAAACCTAATCTGCACAGCAGCTGTTTCAAGGAACACAGAGCAACAATAAGCGAGCAGTAAAGGGTAACAGTTCAGCATCCCTGCAAAGACATGGGTTTGGGTGTTCACAATTCTTTATTTCATGATTTGCAGCCTCAAGTCCACAGCCACACAAAGAGTCCAAGGGATCAAAAAGATCTAAGAACACACCTATCCTCAGCCAAAAGCCTCAAGTTGGACTGGCGCGGAACAGTACCAAAGACCTAATAAGGTTAGCATCTGCTTTATCATAACCCAGCTCATCAGGCTCTGGATGAGGAAGAAGGTCAGCCTTCTTCCTTCACACAAAGTCTGAACAATCTGCACCCTGGTACTCACTGAGGTAGCTAGCAGGTCACAGATGTGCCCCTTTTTACCAGCTGACCCCAATTCAATCAATTCACCTTTTTTATGTTCTGACCACAAGCAAACCCGAGTTGCTCTCTCAGGGCACCGTCCTACACTGAAAGCCCCAGTGACAGGAAAATTTCAGTAAATGTGTATGCAACTCCCCAGATCTGGGTGTGTATATTACATACTCTGTAACAGGTTCAGGGTTTTTTTTAATTCATGCTTTGAGAAAGAAATTTTAAATCTACTCACCTGTACTGCTCAGTTTATCATACCCTGGCCTCCAGAACGAGCCTCAGGACATTGTGAGGAGGAAAGTTCCACTTCTATCAACTCTTCCCATGTCTAATTACAGAAGGTGGTCTCATCAAACTGTTCACAGCTTTTCCAGCACTACCTTCTGCTGGAAGATTAGGGAAGCTAATAACAATTTTTGGGGACATATTTATCCTTCTTGCTCAGTTATAAACACTACAAGTTTATTGCCATGAATAGTTTGAAAAACTAGAAGATGGTAAAATATCACGTTAGGTCAGGAAGGAGGAGCCACCATGTCA